TAAAATGGGGAGAAAAAAAGCTCACAACTGTGCTTTGACATTGCTATATGACAGAAGTTCCTGGGGTTACATTCTCATTCCAAACACATAAAACACAAAAAGTTCACTTGAAGAAGAAGAAATTCTCCTGTCCGGCACACCAGATGCATGAAGCGCAGTGTTCTGAAATTCAGATTGTGGGAAGAGCATTGATCCACTTGGAAAGGAGTTTGAGAATGGATTTGGGCTGTACAATTTCTCTTTATCCCTCCTTCCCTTTATTTTTCCCTCTCTCTCTCTCCTTCCCTCCTTCCCTCCTTCCCTCCTTCCCTCCCTTCTTTCCTTCCCTCTTTTCTTTTCACTACTAGGAATAGGACCCTTTCATGATGAAATACTGAACTCCTATTTTTTTTGAACTCCTATTTATTAGTTAACTATTTTTTTGTCTATGTGTTTTGTGAAAAGGTCTTGCCTCTGCCTGGATTTGTGTCCCTACTGTGACTATGCTGCCTCCACCTACAAGGTGATGAGGTGATGGGAGTGAGATACACAAGGCACGTCTTTATTTTCACACAGGAACTGGTGGAGTAGTTACTCAGGCTGGAAAGAAAATTGCCATGCACCTTCCTTAGCCTGCCAGAGTTCTGGGATTACAGGGAAGTAGTCATGCTGTGATTCCTTTGTAATTTTAAAAAAGAAATTCATATCTTTGGTATTTCTGCAAATTCCAAAAAGAATATTTATTCTGAAGCATTTCTTTTTGTCTCTTTCTCTTTTCATTTCTCTCCTTGTCTCTGTCTTTCTTTCTGAAACATGGTCTAACTATGTAATTCAGCCTGTCCTTGAACTAACTTTGTAGCCCCGGGTATCCCTTCATTCACTCATGCTGTCTCAGCTTCCCAAGGGTTAGGATAAAAGGTGTGTGCCATCATTCCCTTGCAGAAAGTACTCTCATGTGTGGTACCATCCCAGCAGGGATAGGCTCGTTCTGAAGGTTAGAATCTTCACTACACTAACAACAGAGCCAGGCTTTTTCTCCCTTCTGCTGGTTGCCAGAGCTCTGGTTTTCTGTGAAATCCTAATGAGATGATGGCCACATAGAAAACTGCTGCATTTGTGCACTGTGTCCCTGACTCTAGTGTTCTCAAGAGCAGAGACAGTATGTTTATAATGAGAGATGTGGGCCATGTGTGCTCTGTACATAATGAATAAAAACACTATGTGGCCTACTTTACTACACTGATAAAGATGTTGCCTATATATGAACAGAGTAGGATTAGTAAATTGATACTTTCAATTGCCATTTCAATAAAATTTGTTTCAGGAAAGTTGGAAGTGGTGGCACCTGGAGTGTTTTCCTTCATGATTTGGCATCAAAAAGCCAACCAATCATGAATCCTGGAACAACTGCAGTGGAAAAGGAACTTTTCTCTACTACTGGTAGCAGTGTGGACTGGGAGAACCACTATGGAAATCAATTTGAAGT